CCATCATTGCTCCATCCATCATCCAACCATTATCCAAACATCATCCAACCATCATCCAACCATCATCCATTATCCAATGACTATCCATTAACCAACCATGATCAAAACAACATTCAACCATCTTCCAATCCATCTAACATCATCCACCAGACAACCATCATCCAACATCCATCCATCCACCATTCAACTATCATCCAACCACCATTCATCATCCAACCATCATCCATTATCCAACTGTCATCAAAAACAACATCCAAGCATCCTCTAATCCATCCAACATCATTCACCATCCAACCATCATCAAACTTTCATCCAAACATCAAAGTTAATGCTCAATAATCAGAGTAAAATATCCAACAATGGTCAGTCAGGTCATCTGGACAGGTGCTTTTCTTTGTTTGTTTTTTTGTGCTGAAACGTTTCACTTTCCATCCAGAAGGCTTCATCAGTCAAAGAAACACACAACACAAAACTAATTCTTCCCCCAAAACAGTTTACTCGAAAGTGAAACAAACCAGTTATGTTGGTTCTAAGTTGGTGTACTTGGCACGCCCCCTCCTCTGGAGCCGGCCCTCTTCCTTGTTGACAGTCATGTCAAACTGGTTCAAAACCAAAACAGTCCATGCTCAATAATCCAGGGATACAATCCAGCAATTTTCTGTCAGGTCATCTGGACAGGTGCTTTTTTTTTACTGAGAAATGTCTCTCAACAAAAAAAGAAATGTCCAGCTGACCTGACTGACCATTGTTGGTTTCATCCAAACAGCATCCATCATCTAACATCATCCAACCATCTTCCAGACATCATCCATCCTTCCATTCATCCATCATCCAACCATCATCAATTCAATTCAATTCAGTTTATTTATAAAGTGCCAAATCACAACAAAGTTGTCTCAGGGACTTTACAGGAACATTCACAAACATAAAAGCCAATTATCTTCACCTGCTTCTTCTGTTTCGGCTTACGAGGGTTGCCAGTGTCCTGAGTAACTGTGAGAGTGGTGTGGTACAAATAAAACTAAACAGAACAAAATCTATTAAAAGACTTATGGAACATCTCCAGAACATCTACAGAACATCTACAGAAAATGTTCAGAACATCTAGAGAACATGTCCAGAACATCTAGAGAACATGTCCAGAACATCTAGAGAACATGTCCAGAACTGTTAAAGTTCTCTTTAAGGCGTTGAGTTCGGGCTGAAGCAGGTTTAAACCTGAGAAGAAGAATTCAGTTCAGTTTATTTATAAAGCACCAAATCACAAGACACTTGTCTCTGGACACTTTACAGGAACATTCACATAAAAGACAGTTAGTGAAGTTCTCTGTCTAAGGAATCAGTGGAACATGTGCAGGTGTGGAGAACAGCCCCACATCCTCACAGCATGTCACACTAACTACATCCGTCACCATGGCAGCAACACAACCACCTCATTAGTGACAGGGTTAACAAGAGGGAGACAAGGAGGCAGAAGGGAGAGAACGAAGGGAGGAGGAGGAAACAAGTCATCAAACAGGAAGTGAGTGATGGCAGGAAGTAAAGGCAGACAGATGGAGGGAGGAGTGCTTCCTGTTTCTGGGCACTAACAGGAAGTGAGGCACTGGTTTCCTTCATGATAACACTGTGGAATGTACACACACACACACACAGTGTTTGAAGGTGAAGTCCATGTGGACGGTTCTTTAGACCAGTGGTTCAAGCGTGGTCCTGGAGGAGCGCCGTCCTGCATGTTTGAATTATTTCTCTGCTCCAGCGCTGCTGAATCAGTGATTTAATGATTTCCTCAAGTTCTGCAGAAGCCCGTTAATCATCCTTTCATTCAAATCAGAGGAACAACTAAAACATGTAGGATGGTGTTCCTCCAGGACCACTGTTGGGAACTACTGCTTTAGACATTTCAAGTGCTGGTTGAAATCTGACATAATACATTTTTTAAATTTTCCTTTCTGTGTCAGAGTGAGATCAAATGGTTCAGTGACAACCAGCTCATCTAAAAATGATTCATGTGCTAAACATCCTTCCTTCCATCCTTTATCTTTACCTGCTTTTTCTGTTTTTGAGTCGCGGGGGTCGCCTGTGTCCATGTCCAGCAATCACTGTGTGAGAAATGAAGGACACCCTGGACATGTCTCCAGTCCATCACAGGGACACATAGAGACAAATGAGGCAAACAACAATTCACTCTCTCTCTCTCACACCTAGGGACAATTTAGAGTCACCAATCAGTCTAACATGCATGTTTTTGGTCTGTGGGAGGAAACTGGAGAAAACCCACGCATGCACGGAGAGAACATGCAAACTCCACCCAGAAAGACCCCTGGCCGGGATTCGATCCGGTGACCTGCTCACTGAGAGACGGCGGCTCTACCAACTGCACCACCGTGCTGCCATTTGTTTAACAGTTCATCAGAGTGATCGTCTGTGCTTTTCCATGTTTCAGCTGGTGTTTGAGGCGGTCAGCACTGGTCAGAGGGGAGTGATGGCCATCAAAGACATCATACTGGAGGGACACCAGTGTAGTAAGTTCACACACACACGAGACCCCGCCCCCTCTGGAGCCTCACACTAATTGGTTAACAAGGTTCGGTTTTGGGCTGGCATCGTAGAAACAAGGCCAGTGTGTGTGTGTGTGTGTGTGTGTGTGTGCTGAGGCAGGGGAGCTCATTAAAATTGATTAGCATGAACTTTGATCCATGCGTCTGTTTATACCTGCTCGTCTAAAAACTCACTTAAGACGCTGCTTTGGTTTGTGAACACACACACACATGCACACATGTGCACACACACACATGTGCACACACACACACACACACACACACACACTAATTCCAGTAAATATTTTTCACCTTAAAGTTTTATTTACTTTGAATTTGTCTAACAACGTGTCTAAATGCACATCTTCCCTCGAGTTTTCCGTCTACTTCTGTCATGTAAAAGTTGGTTTCCTGTTGAGTGATGGGTGATGATGTCATCACTTTGCGACCTTTGACCCCTGTGCCATATGTGTCCTTAGTGAACACGCCGCACTTCCTGCACATTAAAGGCGTGGAAGTGAACGCGGGACAGACGGCGACGTTTCACTGCACAGTCAACGGACAGCCACGCAGCAACCTGCTGCTCTACCTGCAGGTGACGTCTGACACCTGTTCTCTGTTCTCTGTTCTCTGTTCTCTGTTCTCTGTTTCTGCTCCGTGTGTTCTCTGCCTTCTGAATGGTTCTCTGTTCCACAGGGGATGGGCGGTCGGGAGGCCATGGTAAAGGAAACTAAAGCGGTGAATCCTCGGCGTTATGTGGCGAGCTTCGACGTGAGCAACACGACTAAAGGTGACTCTGGACGCTACCGCTGCATTGCTCAATCAGAAAGAGGTGTGGGCGTGTCCTCCTATTCTGACCTCACAATCAAACGTAAGTCCTGTCCTCTGATTGGCTGCTGGATGTGTTTTCTTTGTGGTTCTACTTTAGATTTTAATCATGATGAACTCATCTAAACAAAGAAAACTCAGAGAGACACAATAGACCTGTTCTGGTTCTCACCTGTCTGTCCTCACACCTGTCTGTCCTCATCTATCCTCTCACTTGTGCTCTCAATTGTCTGTCCTCTCACCTGTCTTTCTTTTCATCTGTCCTCTTTCTGGCTGTCTTTGCATCTGTCCTCTCACCTGTCTGTCCTCTCACCTGTCCTCTCACCTGTCCTCTCACCTGTCTGTCCTCTCACCTGTCCTCTCACCTGTATTTCTTCCTGTCTGTCATCTCATCTGTTTGGCTTATCACCTGTATGTCCTCTCATCTGTCTGTCCTCCTTCCTGTGGCGGCACTTCAAAGTAAAAGTCTGTCCTTCTTCCTGTGGCGGCACTTCAAAGTAAAAGTCTGTCCTTCCAGTTGCGGCACTTCAAAGTAAAAGTCTGTCCTTCCTGTGGCAGCACTTCAAAGTAAAAGTCTGTCCTTCCTGTGGCGGCACTTCAAAGTAAAAGTCTGTCCTTCCTGTGGCGGCACTTCAAAGTAAAAGTTTGTCCGTCCTGTGGCGGCACTTCAAAGTAAAAGTTTGTCCTTCCTGTGGCAGCACTTCTAAGTAAAAGTTTGTCCGTCCTGTTGTGGCACTTCAAAGTAAAAGTCTATCCTTCCTGTGGCAGCACTTCAAAGTAAAAGTCTGTCCTTCCTGTGGCAGCACTTCAAAGTAAAAGTCTGTCCTTCCTGTGGCAGCACTTCTAAGTAAATGTCTGTCCTTCCTGTGGCAGCACTTCAAAGTAAAAGTCTGTCCTTCCTGTGGCGGCACTTCAAAATAAAAGTCTGTCCGTCATGTGGCGGCACTTCAAAGTAAAAGTCTGTCCTTCCTGTGGTGGCACTTCAAAGTAAAAGTCTGTCCTTCCTGTGGCGGCACTTCAAAGTAAAAGTCTGTCCTTCCTGTGGCGGCACTTCAAAGTAAAAGTCTGTCCGTCATGTGGCGGTACTTCAAAGTAAAAGTCTGTCCGTCCTGTGGTGGCACTTCAAAGTAAAAGTCTGTCCGTCCTGTGGCGGCACTTCAAAGTAAAAGTTTGTCCATCCTGTGGCGGCACTTCAAAGTAAACGTTTGTCCGTCCTGTTGTGGCACTTCAAAGTAAAAGTCTATCCTTCCTGTGGCAGCACTTCAAAGTAAAAGTCTGTCCTTCCTGTGGCAGCACTTCAAAGTAAAAGTTTGTCCGTCCTGTGGCGGCACTTCAAAGTAAAAGTTTGTCCTTCCTGTGACGGCACTTCAAAGTAAAAGTTTGTCCGTCCTGTTGTGGCACTTCAAAGTAAAAGTCTATCCTTCCTGTGGCGGCACTTCAAAGTAAAAGTCTGTCCTTCCTGTGG